ACTAGATAATTTTTCGAATCAGAGGTCCTACCCTACAACGGTTAGACTCAAACGAGAGCTGCGAAATAGAGCTAAACCTAACCTTCTGAAATTATTTAGTCCTCGTAATATGTAGCTTAACATATTCGTTTACTAGTTAGTTAAAGATAACTAGAACTCCTAAAAGCACAAAGCAAGCAGCATTCGAGCATTGAGTAACCATAATCAGGCATCCTACTCAGGCCATCATATTACTGACTAATCATTACTAGCATACAGTTCAACAAGCACATACAACAGGCATATAAGGCATCCTTCTTAGATCCTTAGTCCTAAACTAGCTTGCAGTTCTCATACACATATAACAGGCATACAAGGCATCATTCCTAGATCCTTAGCCCTAATCTAGCATGCAGTTCTCATAATCATATCATAACATAACAAACTTGTATGGGTAATTTGGGAGAACTTACTTGAGCTCGGTTGATTGCATGCACCACACCATTTTCTCTTTTCAAAATCTTTTTTGTAAAAATGGTTTTCTTTTAAAAAATTTATACGAAGTCCTCATTTTGAGTTCAGACACACCCGAGAGTGTGCCCGAATCCCTCAAACCAAGGCTCTGATACCAACTTGTAAAATCCCAAAAATACAGTCCAAAAATTTCATTTTTATATATTATATAACCCATGATCATCAAGCATAATCATACAATCTCAACATCATATCAATATATATCAAAATGTCAAAGTAAAAACATCCCAGGCTAAAACATAAACGGTGTGCACAATGCAGCCATCCCGAGCTCTTCCCCTTGCTACCAGAGGTATGTGAAACCAAAATTGAAAACCGTGAGCATGAAGCTTAGTGAGCTCCCCAAACTACCACATACCATACACATATCATGCAACTAGGATATACGGGCCCTGCCCACACTCAATGAGATACGGGCCCCGCCCACGCTCATCTAACTAGGAGATACGGGCCTCGCTCGCACTCCGCTATCTCTAAGATACGGGCCTCACCCACACTCAGCTGCTATGAGATACGGGTCTCGCCCACACTCAGCTACTTTGATATACGGGCCACACCCACACTCAGCTACTATGAGATACGGGTCTCGCCCACACTCAGATAATCATGAAACACATACAAGTATATCACAAACAACAAGTATAACTAAGCATATCCATTCGTACCATATCAGCTATCTATGAGATACGGGCCTCGCCCACACTCGACTACTAATCAGATCACATACACGGGTCGGCCTTGGTGTTGTAGACCCGTTCCTACTAGAGGAAACACACCTCAATGTCGTGTGAATAGTTGAAGTATCCCTGCTCTGAAACCGGCTCTACTCACACCCTATACATAATAACCTTTTAGATACCATTCCATACTCAAAACCCCCTTCACGGATCAACCTTGTTCAAAGTCAAAGTCATGGTCAAAGTCAACGTCCAGTCAAGTCAAAGTCAACCCTAAGTTGACTCAACTCGTCGAGTCATCCCCCTGACTCGCCGAGTTTCCATGCTACTCTCAGTCGTGATAAAACGAGTCAACTCGTCGAGTCCTCCCTCAGACTCGCCGAGTTCTGTTCTTTACAAAATCGAGACAAATCGAACCAACTCGTCGAGTTCCTCTATGAACTCGTCGAGTTCTTCAGTCTGTTGCTTCATCTTAATAGATTAAGCCCCTATTCTTCAGATCTAAGCTCCATACTCCACATATACACTGAAATTGTCCTTTTAAGGGTAAAGTTTCCAACTTTACCCGTTAATACCCTTACTTAATGGATTTAGCTCAAACCCTAACTCTTTAGGACCTAGATCTTGGTCCACAAGCCATCAATACTCCAAACTAAGGCATATACACTGAGATCTGAACCCTAGATACTTCAGAAATACGTAAAGCTTCTAACTTTCCTTCTATGCATGGCCTTTTGGAGCTTAAAAGGCCAAAATGACATCCTAAAGCTTAAATGGGGCTTCAATGGCCATAAAGTTTGCACCTTTATGCCATGAAAGCCCTCCATGGTTCTAGATATGAAGGTATACTCATTTGGGACGTCTATTTCCCAAGGATCATGCTTCTTGGACCAAAAACTCAATAAAGTGATAATAAGGAGATCTAAGAATTCACTAAGCAAGTTTGAGACTTGTTTACCAGAAAATGATGAGAATGAAGTGGTGTCTCTGGATCTACTAGCTTCCTCTTGAATCCCCAAGCTTCTCCTTCTTTCACAAGCTTCAACACACACAAAACTCACTCAAAATGACTCATAAGCTCATACAATGCATTAGGATTTCGTGATTTTGGGTTTGGGACTTGGAGGATGGAAATGAGGCTAGCATGTGGGGATTAAGATGCTTAAATAGGGTGAAAAACCCCGAAATTAGGGTTTCACCCCGGCCAGCCTACTCGTCGAGTTGAGGGCTCTCAACTCATCGAGTAGGTTACTTAAAACCTGCATCCCTTCTGATCTCTACTCGACGAGTTTGGGGCTTCCAACTCGTCGAGTTGCTCTCCTGAAATGAATAATTTATAATTGAAATACATACCAGGAACCCGGTGTTACACTTAAGGGTACGGTGTGCAATAAATCACCGGTTTGGTACTCAAGGTAAAGAGAATCATGTACACATATGGAATGTCTAGAATATCATACAACATTTTTCTCGCTTTAGTCACTTAAGTCACATTGCTATAGACTTGGTAGGACATGCACATGCCTTTTCCCGTCTTACATAAATGCACAAATTATATGTGAAAACCCTTTTCAAAACACTTGTCACTTTCTTCTTATTCAAAACTCTTTAATGAAAACCCATTTTTTATGAATACACATAATATGTATACATAATATAACACATAGCACACAAGGTGTAAACATATACAAATGAATGTAAGTCTTAAAAACATATTATTATTATATATAGGACATTATTCGGTAGGTTTCACATCACTCACTTGTGTTGTTATTCACATTTACTCATATTTCCTGTGTACTCTTTAATCCCCACCTATTGATTCAAGATAAGGGTTAAAAATTGTCTAAAACATTCCTACTTCATCCTAACACTCATAGAAGACTTCTAGTACATTTAGAAAGTAAACAAACAAGAATCAGGACAGTTGTGTTAGAACCGACGTCTTAGATTTTCACTTTTAGCATCTTATCTTACCCACCCCTCCTTTTTTTATCCTAAACTTTCCCAACTTTTACCAATGATTCATAATGACTTGAAAACATCTTGATAATATAATTTATCTTTTTAAAGTCATATCTTACCTATTTTTTAATGATTAAGTCATTTGGATATCATAAAAGTCAAAGGATGGCTTATGTAGACATCTAACAACTTCATTACTCAATAAGTTCTTAATAGCCTCCAAGTTCATTACCAAACATTTCATTCCCTTAATAAAATTTATTAAACTTTTAATAAACTCTTAATAACCTCTTAAATCTCTTATTAAACCTTGGAGTGTCGAATTCCATTGTGTTCATGTGTTGGCAATGGTGATTCTTGAGTTTATGTCTCGTTTAACTATTTTATTAAAACTCTTTAATCTATTTAATATATTTTAGAGTAGCTTCAACAGTGAAGAAACACATAAATGCTAAATCATCATTAAAGTTACAATGATGGTGTGGCAGTGGCATGGTAGTTGTGAGAGTGGTGGAGTAGGTGTGGTGTTGTGGTGGTGGTGATTGGTGATTGGTTATGTTGGTGATAGTAATGGTGTTGATGGTGATGGGCGATGGTGGAGCTGATGGTGGCGGGTAGGTGGGCGAGTGGTGGTGGAAGCAATGGTAGAAGGGCTTTTTTGTCTTTTTAAAATGTCTTAACAACCCTTCATTAGGGTTGTTAGAGGGGAGGATCTCTGGTGTTATCCAAACCCTTAATAATGACCATTAGTGTTATTTACGGACCAAGAGTGTTATTTCATATAAACCACAGGGACCAGGACTGTAATTTACTCTATATTTTACTCCCTCTGTCCCAAATTATTGTCCACAGACGAAAAACACACAGATTAAGGAAGCATTAATTACCAGTAACTTTATATAATAAAATGACAGTTTTGTCATTACTTTGCATTTAATGTCCATTAAATGCTTAGTTGGTTAAGAATTAATGAGGGGGTATTTTTGTAAAAATTTTATTTATTTTTAGAAATTGACTATAATTTTGGGACAAACCAAAAAGAAAAGATTGACTATAATTTTGGGACGGAGGGAGTATCAAATTATGCAACTTAGATTATAATCATTTAAAATATTAAACTAATTTGTACATAGCCATTTATGTTATTTTATATTTTTCAGTTTTTTTATCATCTAGTTTTTACCAACCATCATTTTTATCAATTAAATTCTTAGTAATCAAATATTTTGTAGCTACCACCTAGCTTTTTCAGCTGGTCTCGCAAACATAATCTTATATATTTACACAAAAAAACATGTCAAAAAAGTGTTATTTCATGTTTACATAATTAAACATTTTTACAAAACCTTATTTCATTTCTTATAAGACGTTTAATAACTGTTATTGAGTAAAATCTAATTTAGTTAAAACCTTATTAAGTCAAATTCAATTTCTTCCACACCCAATAAAAAGAATATCAAAAGACTATAAGATTGAATCAAACCTTGTTAATTGTAACATTAAACGACCTAACTCTGACCGAGTTAGATCCGTCCTCCTACATATCAAACAATCGTTATTTATAATAGAAAACCCAAGGGATTTCATTCACATGCCATTGATCTTTTAATGTAACTTCAAGTTCCTCTTTCAAATGTAGCATTAAGACCTATTTTGAAACAGTTACACACAACTATTCTTTGGGATGAGACAGCAAGAGCAATTCATTTACATAATCATGGAGTTCTACTTATATCCAACATTTGGGAAAGACATTCATAAGATCAACATAACATAACAAAGATCCATAATATTAATAAACATCGAACAAGTGAACTCGATGATTCAAACTTATAAATTTAAAACATTCCATAATTTTCCACATTACAATATAAAAACATAAAAACACATATAACACAAACTCAAAAACCATAAATCATATTCATGAATCATACCTAAGCCAAATACCTCCAAAACGCAGGCCTATCTCTGGATATAACCAAAGCACGTGACCCCAAATAATCAAACGAAGGACAATATAAATTATCCGGCCCAACACTCTCTCTCACCTTCACACCACCATAATCACCACCCATTAATGGCCGCATTCCATCCTCTTTCAAAGCATCAAATACAAACAACCCTAAACCAGAAACAGCCATGGTGAGACTGGAGTCACCCCAGACTTGTGTTATGGCTTTGTGATGGTGGTGGGCGGTGGAATTGGATTCCGGGAGGTGGTAGGTGGTGAAGAGTTTCTGTTTGCGTATAGAGAAGTGTTGGATTTGGGCGGTGGATGGCGGTTTTCTGGCGGTTGGTGTTGTGGCGGTGGATCCACCGAGGTAGATTGAGTCTCCGCGAGAGAAGATGGAGTGGACGGTGGTTGTGGGTTTCGGAATTTTGATTCCGATCCCGGAAGGGTTGCGGAAGTCTAGAACGTTGATGGAATCGGAAGTGCAGAATACTCCGTCGTTTCCTTCTGCTTCTGATGAACTTACTCTGTATTTCAAAACAATCGTTAGATTTGTGGATTGTAAATTTGCAATGGAGTAACGATGGAATTGGATTTCAGATAAAACATTACCTTTGGCGAACACCTCCACCAAGTTCTGCATCGGTATTATTCACATGAAGTCCCAAAATCTTCTTCCCGTTCAAATTCACAGTCACCAAAGGTTCAGCTGTAAGCGACGCCACATCCCACAACCCAACACCACCGACCTCCGCCACCACCACTTTCCCCCTATTCCGCCATTGCAAAGGACTCGAATTCTCCATTCCGACAATCAAACTCCCCAATTCCCACTTCATAACATCTTCTCCATCACGAATATCAAAAACCCTAACACCTCTCTGGTTACTAGCGGTTGAAATCATGAGCGGGCCACAAGGCTTATACCACCACTGTCGATTCTCCGGAGGTAGATTGGTCATTTCATGTCGTCGGTTTAGGACGTTGTTGGGTAATGGAGCGAGTGCTGTTCTTGTGGTGGTGGTGGTGATTCCGTCTTCGAGGTGGAGGGATTTGACTTCTTTGGTGTAGAAATCCCATGAACAGAAACCGGATTCAGGGCTGTTTCCGGCGGATGCTGCCACCACGTATCTCCCAGAACAACCGTCTGCACCTGGTGCGCGAAGTATCCAGCAATCTCTCCATAAATTCGGTGAAACTTCAGCTGGTGCTTTGTATACGGATTTTTCCTGAATAACACATAAATTGATAAACGAATCAAACCGATTTCACAATTTTATACATAATATAAAACAAATCAAGCCGATTATCAAAGAAATCATATGAATTTCACAGCTTTTATACCACTTATCAAACAAATTTGAACCTAATCGAATCAATAACGTATAGATTAAGTCAAAAAGAAACAGAAGATTAGTACCTCAGAATTGGCAACATCATAGAAGGTGCAAGAACCATCATCATGAGCAAGAAGAACAGATTCTCCTTCAGACACAAACCATCCACCTGTACAAGTCTTGTGCCCAATTTCATTTAACTCGTTGTTGAAACTATCATCAACATCATCTTCATATATCATGAGTCCCTTGTTTTCTTGATCATCAGATTCTTCAAAAGTTTCATCAGCTGTAAGCATTGACTCAACATTACCCTTTCCACTGTAAAAAGATTCACGTGATTTTGGATTGACAGTGCTGTCTGTTTCTTGAACTTCACATATCTCCAAATTACCCCTAATTGTAACTTTAGATTCACTATTACTCAAAGAATCTGATAACTCATGTTTAGTTTCACTAATAGCTAAAGCAACCTCAGATTTTAGGGTTTCATGGTTTTTTGTTGTCCTGTCTCTGAGTAACTTATGGTGAGGAAAGAATCTTGCTTCCAGTTCATCGGGATTCAAGCCCTTGGATGAACTTTTTGCATCACTTGACTCCTTGATTGGACTAGTTTTTGTGATAATAACTTGTGGATTATTATTATCATCCTTTTTCTCTGTTTCAACATTAACAACATCACCCATTGCCTTTTCGATACCTGCAACTGTTTCTTGAATGTCAGAAAGCATCACTTTTGATGCATCAGGGTTGTTTAAGTCCAGCATTTCCTTTGTTCTTTTGATATCTGAAGCTATCCTCTTCACCTTTTCTTCCAAAAATGCAAGCTTTCCATGGAGTTTACTTGGGTACTTGGCATTTGATCGAGCAGTTAGTGTGTCTTCACTTGTCCCCTTCTCTTTTGAAGCATCTGAAGTACTACCTCTGCTTGATAACTTCCCACCAGAGTCTCTGAAACTTGAACGAACACTGATCTCCTCGTTTTCAGTTGAATTGCTAGACTTTAAACCTACACTGGATTTCGATCTGAACTTCTCAAATAGTTTAACACTTTCAGAGACTTTCACAAACGAATCTGAGCTAGATTGGGTGTTTGAAATCTCTGGATGTGATGTATTGTCTCTTTGTTTACCACTTTTGGGGGAAACCGTAAAAACCCTAGCATTTTGGGGTTTCGCTGTAGGTTTTGGGTTTGATTCTTTGCAAAGTTCACTGCTTTTCTCCAAACTCGCTATGGAAACTTTTGAAGCCGGAACTCCATTAGCAGAAGTAGATTTAGAATTAGTATTTTTGGAGGAACCTTTGTTCTGTAGGCCAACCCTATCCGAAACCCTAGCAGACCTATCAACGCTAACACTTCTCTCGTTTCGATCCATTGAAACCCTAGAAACCCTAGTTTTACGCACATCATTTGTAACCCTAACAAATTCAGATGGACTTTGGCTCCTACCTCTTGGTCGCACAGACGAACTTGTCGACCACCTGGCACGCTGTTCCACGCTATCCTTATCGGCACGAACAATCGGCGGAACGAGCGGTTTCTGGGGCTTCGCTGCAGTCCGAATCCTGGAAGTGGGTCTGCCACTGTTGGCGTTTTCCTTGCCGGTGGTCATATTTACTGAATCTCCACCCCGACAGATGATTCTTTCTGATAACGGAGTTGTGCTTCTGGATGTTTTTGATGGTGGGACGGTGGTGACCTTAGCTCCGCCGCCACCGCTGCTTTCTTTCACCCGGCGCACCGCAGACGAGGACATCGTAGATTGAAATCAATTAATCGCAAGTTTTGTTAAGGATTTGAGTGGTTGAGGTATTGATAGATCTTGGGTTTTGGTTTTGATTAAGGTTTGAAGTTAAGCGGGAAATGAAATTTTTGGGTTTGGGGTTTTGAATTTTTTGAACCAGTCCATTAGCCCATACATATTATTTCCACCAAGACCCACTGTTTCGAGTACGTGTGATAGTATTTAATATTTAAATCTTATACATTTCATATTTTATTAGACAAAAATCTAGGGTGTTCGGATTGGCATTTTACAGGATAATTTGATTATCTCGATTTGATATAAAATATAAAAATGACTTACGGCAGTTCATGTTTTTGGAAATAATAAAATTTGTCAAATAATTTTGAATATAAAGGAATGAAATTTGAAGAAATTAGAATCATAACATAACATGTATATGCAAAGTTCAAGATTATCATTCCAAAAAAACATTTATTCAAAAATATATACGAATACACCACTCTTATCAATTGTTCAAACGTTGACAATTTTGAATTTAGGTTAGATTTTTCCCTTTTCTCGCTGCTAATCGATCTTTACTTGTTTTGTTATATAAGATCGTGCGTTTGCTGTGAAATTTGATTTTACTGTAATCCTACTCCAGTGGTGTATTTTCATCAATGGCAGTCGCTCCCCTCATCCTCTCTTCTAACTTGATTCTACAATTCTTGCTTTTCTTGTAGTTTCTTAATCTGATATTCATATTCTTTGTTGTTTGTGAGTATGTTTTCGATTTATGATTACACATTTATACTTTTTTCGGGAAATTTGATTTGACCATAGCATATGGACAAGTCTTGGATGAATATAATTCATAGGACAGATGACCCAAGCTTATAGAATATACTCTTACTGAAAAGTAATTGGTATGATATAAAATAAAATAATAACTATTTTTTCAAGCCAATTTTTAGTCCTTAATGATCAATATCGTTGTGAAAATGGGTAAAGTTTCAATTTCCAGGTAATTTTCTTTAAAGAAACATATAAATCATAATTGATATTTAGGCCTATGGAAACGCAAATCATAATTTTTTCAGTGAATTTGATGTTTCTGCATTTTTTGCAATATGATATCTTCTTTTCACCATTTGTAGATTTGTGATTCCATTGTACCAATCAATTACAAACCTTGTCGGATCAACGGTATGCTTGTTTAATTTTTGTTATTAAATTAGAAAAGTAATACAAAAATATATTTATAAATCACAGTTGATTTCGATTCCATTAGGTTGGGGTTTTGTAATTTGATAAAGAGGGACAAAGACCAAAGCAATTGTATATGGGTGGTTGACTGAAAACTCAACTTACTTTTTTAGTTATATGATGGTGGAAATTCAAAACACTTGAAAGATGCAACTACTTCTGCTTATCAACAAAAAGCGTCTACTCTAGTATCAAACAAGAAAAATTGTTTTTTAACCCTGAAACACATATAATAATAATATTTAATAACATATTACGAGAACAAGCAAGATTGAAATGAAATCGATTCATTACTCTAATTGAAACTCAAAATGAAGTTTATATACAGACATCTTAAAGGGATAACCAACTAACAACTAATAACAACTTACTAACTAACAATTAGTTAAATTACTAAACTACTCATGTCAGTTAGAACTGTAATAAGCGCCCCTCAAGATGGAGATTCAAGAATAGATATTCTTTAATCCCATCTTGAACATAAAAGGTATCACTTTTGTAGTTGGCAACGGTTTAGTGAACATGTCGGCTAACTGATCAGAAGATCTGATCGGCATCAATTTGATTGTTTGGTCAACAACCTTATCTCTCACGAAGTGGCAGTCAAACTCAATGTGTTTCATACGTTCATGGAATGTTGGATTTGTAGCAATTTGTATTGGTGCATCATTATCACAAAAAAGAAGCATGGAATCAACATGATCAACATTGAAATCTTTTAGTAATTGTTTCAACCATACGAGCTCAGAAGTAGCAATGGTCATGGCTCTATATTCTGCCTTTGCAGATGAACGAGTGATTGTTGACTGTTTCTTTGACTTCCATGAAACAATAGAATATCCCAAAAGTACATAAAACCGAGTGATTGAACGCCTGGAATCTGGACATTTAGCCCAATCTGAATCACGGAAACCTTTAAGATGAAGAGAAGAACATTCCTTGACCAAGAGATCCTTTAAGATACTTGATTAGATGTGTTACAACATTGAAATGTTGAACTTTGGGTATGGACATGTATCGAGACAATTGTTGGACAGCAAAAGTTATACTTGGTCGTGTAATATTGTAACACTCGAAAACCAGAAAGCCAAATAAGGGAAGGAACCTTCCATTCAAGAAGGCAACTCGTCGAGTTCAAGGGTGAGAACTCGACGAGTAGGAATGTTGCCACGCGTGCTTTTGGAAGACCAACTCGACGAGTTGGACGGGGTTTGGGAAACCCTAGATCTGGGATTTTGCACCCTATTTAAACACTTTATGACTTAGGGTTTGGCCTCATTTCTAGCCTCCATTTCCCAAACCCTAGATTCAGAAACCCTAATGCATTTGTGAGCTTGTGAGCTGTTTTTAGTGAAACTTGGTGTGTTTTGAAGCTTGTGAAGGAAGGAGAAGCTTGGGGATTCAAGATGAAGCTAGTAGATCCAGAGACTCCAATTCTTTCTCATCATTTTCTGGTAAGCAAGTCTCAAACTTGCTTAGTAGCTTCTTAGATATCTTTATTAGCATTTTATTGGGTTTTTGGTCCAAGAAACTTGATCTTTAGGATATGGACGTCCCAAGTGAGTATACCTTCAGATCTGGAATCATGGAGGGTTTTCATGGCGTAAAGGTGCAAACTTTATGGCCATTGAAGCCCCATGCAAGCTATAGGATGACATTTTGGCCTTTTAAGCTCCAAAAGGCCATGCATGGAGAGAAAGGTGGAAGCTTTACGTGTTCATGTAGTGTCTAGGGTCCAGATCTCAGTTTGTATGATTTAGCTTGGAGTGTTGATGGCTTATGGACCAAGATCTAGGTCCTAAAGAGTTCGGGTTTGAGCTAAACCCATTAAGTAAGGGTATTAACGGGTAAAGTTGGACACTTTACCCTTAAAATGACATTTTCAGTATTTATGTGAAGTATGAAGCTCAGATCTGAAGATTAGGGGCTTAATCCATTGAGATGAAGCAACAGACTGAAGAACTCGGCGAGTCTGTGGAGGGACTCGACGAGTTGAGTCGATTTGTCCCGATTCTGTAAAGGGTAGAACTCGACGAGTCTGAGGAGGGACTCGCCGAGTTGACTCGTTTTATCACGACTGCGAGTAGCAAGGGAACACGGCGAGTCAGGGGGATGACTCGACGAGTTGAGTCAACTCGGTGTGTTGACTTTAACTTTGACTCGACCTTGACCAAGGTTAACCCGAGAGGATTATGAAGCATGAAATGGCTACCAAGGGTGATTCCATGAAGGGTTGGGCCCAAATTAGAAAATTAGGCCATTAATGGGCTTGGGAAGTCTACCTAGTGTTAGGCCTTTCATGTATGGTTTTGGGCCTTAGGCATGGACCAAATTAGATCAGGGGTAAAATGGTCATTTTACCCTAATAAGGATTATTAGTTCTGACTAAGTGTTATTTTGGTGATGATAGCTCGGAGAGTTGAGAGAGCAGCAGTTAGGGGACCTGCCAGCTAGCAGCCAGAGAATTATCCGGGAGGTTTAGCATTCAGCTTTGCGAGGTGAGTTTTCACCTATAGGAACGGGTCGAAGGCACCAATGTCGGCCCGTTTAGGTATGTTAGTATGTTCCGAACTAAGGTCTAATGTCGGGGCAAGCTCGAGGAATGTTTGTATGCTTGATGTCTTCGTGATTCTTGCATGTGTCTGTTTGTATGTTTCTGTAGTCTGATGTCGGGGTGAGCCCGAGGAATGTTTATATGTTTCCGGATTTCGGTCCGATGTCGGGTGGGGCCCCAAGGAAGGTTTATATGTATGTTCCCGAACTACGGTTCGATGTCGGGTAGTACCCAATGAAGGAATGCATGTTTAGTTATACTTGTTGTCTTTATGATACTTGTATGTGCATGGTAGGGAGGTGAGTGTGGGCGGGGTCCCGTATCTCATCACTAGCTGAGTGTAGACAAGGTTCCATATCTCAATATTAGCACAGTAGGGGCGGGACCCATGATAGGCGGGGCCTTAAGACTAGAAGATATAGTGTTGTGTATGATTCTGTATGTACTAGCATGATTATATGTTATTGTTTGTATGTGAATAGCGGGTGGGGCCCAGAGACAGGCGGGGCCTGGTAGAAACATATATGTATACCGAGCGGGGCTCGATGCCAGGTGGGGCCTGATGCCTGATTTTGTATGATGTCGGGCGGGGCCCGAGGAAGGGGCGGGAACCCAGTTTATGTGATTATGTGATTATGTGTATGGTATGTGGTAGTTTGGGGAGACTCAATAAGCTTCGTGCTTACGGTTTTCAGTTTTGGTTTCAGGTACTTCCGCTAGTAAGGGGAAGAGCTCGGGATGACTACATTGCACACACCACATCGTTTAGTATGGGATGATTTACTCTGATATTTGGACATGTGATTTTGATACAGTGTTTGATAAGATGTTTTAGGATATTATCACTATGTTTTATGAGATGATTTGGGTTACTATGGTTTTATTTATAATTTAAAACGAAATTTTTGGACCGTATTTTTTGGATGTTTCAAGTTGCTATCAGAGCCTTGGTTTGAGGGATTCGGGCACACTCTCGGGTGTGTCTGAACTCGAACTAAGGACTTGGTATGAAAATTTTCAAAAGAAAATCATTTTTATAAAAAGAACTTTGAAAAGAGAAAAAGAATTTTGAAAAGAGAAAAGGGTGTGGTGCATGCAATTAGCCGAGCTCAAGTAAGTACTCCCAAATTACCCATACAAGTTATGTTATGATATGTTTATGATAACTACATGCTAGATTATGGCTAAGGATCTAGGAAGGATACCTTATGTGCCTGTTATATGTATATGAGCTTTATGAACTGCATGCTAGTACAGATTAGTCAGTGATATGATGGCCTGATTAGGATATGCTTGGTTATGGTTACTCAATGCTCGAATGTTGCTTGCTTTGTGCTTTTAGGAGTTCTAGCTATCTCTAACTAACTAGTAAATGAATACGTTAAGT